GAAAATACTGAATAATCCATAATCAATAAAAATTGATTAGTCATTAAAGCTAATTGTTACAAATATTTTCAAATAGAGATTAGAATTTCAAATTCAGATTATTATAAATATTGTAAGTTTCATCATTGGTATTTTACCGACAAAATGTAAGAGCTCATAAAGCAGCAGACGAACGGTATTATAATTCTAAACATTATAATTCTTGGTACGGAACCTAGAGAAATGGAAATAAAGTTCGAATGCACTTGTTAATAAAATCTTGAAGCATTTTTCGCTTAAAAAATACTATGCATTTTCCATTCCGTCAATGCAAATATATTTACTAATCATTTTAGAATCTTTAATAGTTTGAATAATAATTATAATTATTTATACCATTTTAGTTCACTGGCTTTACCAAAAACTAATCAGACATCTTCCCGTCAATAGCAACCGAATAATTTTTCAATCATTCAAATCGGTTGAACCGTGCTCTCGAAAACGTCGGCAAAAAATTGTATCCGCACATACATATATACTACACACACACAAATACACCCATTTTTTCTAATGTATGCCAAAATGTTCAGGCATCTTCAAAATGTGAATTTGGGCCAAGAATTTTCAACTTCGATTTTGGGCGATGGTGACCAAATAGTGGTTGACAAAGAATCATGCACTAACAAAAACAAGGATGTAATAAGTACTCTCCCACACAAGTACGAAAGCCGAATCGCGGAACACCCTAACTTGCTCGCCAGAAAATTTTGCAACAATTCTACCAAGGTCAGATTGAAAAAGAAGTTTGTTTTGCATCAATCATCGAAATCCAATAGACCTTCCATAAGAATCCATGATTTGTATGTTTTAATGCTTTCATTTCTATACCAAGTGTTTCCCTAGTTGTCAGTTTCGGGACAGTTGTGAAAAATATTATTCAATAAAAAAATTTATCATATTTTATACTAAAAATATGCCATAAGAATCATTTTGCATTTGAACATTTATAATAAATAATGTGTGATATACTCGACGAAAAATGAGAGCTGAACCAAAATAAAATCCGGAAAGTTTAGTATGGGTGGATTTTATATCTACTTGTAAGCTGTGGGGCTAATTTGACTTATATTAATACTACGTGAGTTTTACAGGTGGCAACCCTAACAGTTGTCTCGCCTCAGTGTGATTAATTTATTATTACAATTTCTGTGAAAGTGCGAATATTTTATTGATGCAGCAAAATATATTGCTATATATATATATTTTCAAATAAAAACCAAAGTCACTACTGCTTGACATCAACTCCTCTCTAAGCAGGATCAAGCCCTGGACCCCTGATTCAGGTCCACTCGCTCTTGCCATATACCCACTAGTTAGTTCAAATGCTGAAAATGCTTCTAATTATAAATGAAAAATTGTAAATAATTATAAAATATATTTCTTGCTGATACCAGTTAACACTGAAGATTTTTTACTCAATTCTAGGTTTCGCTCCAAACAATTACTATTTCGCTACAATATTTAATTTCCAATAATTCCCTCAAAGCAAATACAATTACCCGCATTATTACAATTGCAGGTAAAAATCTAGCAATTTTGTTTTTACGAAAGATACTAAAAAGTGAAGAATTTGCATTAGTTTATTCGTACTTAAGTAACTTGTGTGCATGTTATGAGTGAAAAGATCGTGCAAGCGTAATTAGATGCACCAAGCAATTCGCATATGTAATTTCATAAGCGCACAAAGCACGCAATACAATATGTGTTTTTATTATGTAATTAAATCAAATCGAATCCAGAGCGATTCAAACTCGGTATTAACAGAGTTTTGGACAAAAACTGAAAAAAACACGGAGACGAACTGTACAGGTGTCCAAATTTCCTGGTCGTAAAATGAAAATTTCGTAATATTCTATCATTTTGTAATTTTTGTTAGAAAAAACCGCATGTTTCTATGATAAATACATTTCGAGGAAAACAAAAATAATACCTTGCATTTTTTGTAAGAAAAAAAGAAGAACCCCCTTAAAATCATACTTAGATATATATTTTCAAGTGAAAACTGCTTGGTATCCAGCTGTCCGAGAAAAAAACCTATAGTTGCGTTGCAAGATCAAAACACTTATTATAGGGCCAAAGGCAAGATCATATAGAAAGTAATAAAATAAATAAAAGTATTATTAATAACACATATATAATTCCATGTTTTCTATTACAAAATATAGATAGATAAGGTAGAAATTCTCGAATTTTTACCTGTTATTTGTAGAGAAGTAATTGAATTATCAGTACAAAGATTGATAATTTCTTTATCAATAATATACTTCTATCACTTGAAGCTATGAATTTCATATCATCATATTTATGTTATTCAATGTGTCAGTAATGATAACATATGAATTTAAGCAAATTTTTTCCCAATTTAACAATAATAATAAATTAGAAGGAATTGTAGATTGAATGGGTATGTATCACTCCATTACCTATTTCTAATTAAATATAATATTGAAAATTTCGATTTAATATTGTAATTTTAATAAAACAAGGTGCAAAGTTTTATGAATTTTAGGCGAAATTTTGCCAAAGATTTGTGGATTTCATAAGGCAGAAAACTATACAAGCTATATCATTAAAATATTTTATGTTATTAAAATTATTTGTAAGACCGTCCAAATTTCTATAGTAAATAATATAAGGGAAAAGTTTGGTTGTACTAATTATAAAAATTAGTGAAGATTTTATATACATAATTAAATATTTTTGTACGAAACCATCGATAAGTTTGACCTAATTTAAAATTTAAATTATGCCAAACTTTTTAATCAGTGTTTTCCAAAGTGATCCACAATGATCCCTAGGAGTCCATGACAATATTCAGGGAGTCCACGTGAGCGGGAAAAAAATTTTGGGGTCTACGTAATAAAAATGAGGGTGTTTTCCAAAGTGGTCCATGACAACATTCAGTGGGTACATGTGAGCAAAAAAAAAATTGAGGGTCTTCGGAATAAAAATAAGGGTCCGCGGTAGATGATACACAATACACCACAATCATTTTTTTTTTATTAAGAAAATATTGTATATTATTGAATAATTGTATCAAATCAACAATGAAGAAGTTTGTCATAATTAAAATCAGTGTTTCCCAAAGTGGTATACATGAAAAAAATTAAATTTTGTGGTTTACGAAATAAAAATTGGGGTCCATGGTAGTGGACTACAATAAACCACATTAACATCTATTTACTTGCGTTATATCATATATGATAAAGCCATATACAAAATTTATAAATAGCTCTAAAACGTAAATAAAAATATTTACAAATTTTATAAAAAAAATTGTAATTGTAGCATTGTAATTGTTAATTGTAGGCATTAGATTTGGGGTCGTGATATGGTTGAGGTTTTAAAGACCCCACTCCCTAAATATTAAAAGGCATTTTGAGGCTATCATAGAATATCTAGATACTTAAGATAAGATTAACGATTTCATATAATAGTTGTAAAATAATGATAACCAAAAGAATAACCTTTAGTCGGGAGATGTAATATTAAACGTTGCAAAATGTTGTGAAATGTTAATAATTTAACATTTATTTTTTTATTTAAAAAATGAAGTTTAATTAATAAATGTGTATAGTATTTTTTGTTTAAATAATTAATAATAGTGCAGTTATAAATTTAAAAAAAAATTATATCAAGGGTCCTAAAGTCAATAGGGGTCGGTCCATAACGAAAAATGTTTGGGAACCTTTGACTTAAATGGCAAAATGCAAATATAACAGAGTAAGAGAGCCAGATTTTAATATTGAAATATGACTACACAAAACTATTGAATTCAAATGAACTTCCCTTGAGAGAAAAAAAAATGTTGATATATGAAACACAAAGAAATATTATTTTATCAACTGAAAATTATTAAAAATATAACAAGTTATGTCAACCTTAGTACATTTAGAAATTTACAAATTATTTAAAAAAGGGGTCTATAAGGTACATGGCAAAGCCCAAGGAGTCTTAAACGCAAAACAGTTTGGGAAACTCTTTAAATCATAAAATGCAAATTTAACCGGGCATGAAAGTAGGATTTTAATATTGAAATACAACTTTAAAAAACTATTGGAATAAAAAAAATAAAAATTAAACTAATGAATTAAAATGAATATTTTCCATAAGAAATATTTAAAAATCATCAACTGAAAATTATTAAAAATATAACATGTTATTTACATAGAAATTTATAAAAAAAATAGGACGTCGTCCATGGCAAAGCCCAAGAGGTCCACAACAAAAAAAAGTTTCGGAACCTATGACTTAAATCATAAAATGCAAATATAATAAAACAAGAGAGTCAGATTTTTATAGTGGAATATTGGAGAATTATTGAATTCAACTGAATTTGCATGAGAGTTATTCAATTTTTTTTATATTTGTATATGAAACACGTGATACTAGAAATCTTTAACTGAAAATTATTGACAAAAATATGACAAATTAATTAAAATATGATTAATTAAGTCAACGCTTACTGTAAACCTTAGTACATTAAAAAATTCATAAAAAATTGATATCGGGTATATAAGGGGTCCATAGCAAAATGCAAGGGGTCCACAAAGGAAAAAAGTTTTGGAACCTATGATAAAATGCTGATATAACAAAGCACGATTGTCAAATTTTAATATTAAAATATGACTTCAAAAAACTATTGAATTGAAGTGAATTTTCCATGAGAGTCATTCAAAAATATTTTTTTTATATTTATATATGAAACAAGTGTTATTAAAAATAAATAAAAATTAAAAAATTATATTGCCATATCAACTGTCACTTCAACCGAAAATTATTAAAAATTTGACAAGTTATGTCAACCCGTTTTGAGCATGTAATTCAAACATATATAAATATGCATGAATAAAAATATATATGCATAAAAGTAAGTACTAATTCCTTCACAAATAAACCCAACAAATTCTACAACAACAACCACCACCATTATTATTTATTATTTGACATTTTCCTCTAACCTTGGTGACCGGCTTTGTGCAAGCTCTTCCATCTATTGGATGCACAGAATTTGTCGATTTTTCCAACACAACACAATTGTCTTGAGTCATTTGTATGATTTTAACAACAAACAAACTGAATTAACTCGAAATTAACTATTAAATTAAATTCGAATCGTAAAAAACTAGAAACAGAACTGTCACTCACTAACCACGGAAGAGAACTGATGATAGATGGCTTGTGGTAATGGCGTCTCTGTCAAAACGAGAGAGAGAGAGGGAGATGCACAATGGAGGGGATGATGGAGATAGCAATATAAACACTATTTTGTTTTGTTTATATTTTTTGCATTATTTATTATAATAATCATATATTATATATAATATAATTTATATATATTTGTTTTGTAATTAATAATCACTTGTTAGAGTTCTGTAACAAAAAACAATAAATCCTGCAATATTTAATAAAATAACTGTCAGTGTATAGTTAGAAGTGAAGTTGGCAGATGGCACTGAAGTCAATTTTAAGGCGGCAATTTTAAATTTAAAATTTTATTTGTGGGTACTATTTATAAAACTGTTTTATAATATAATTTTGAGTATATATTATAATTGACATATGGAATATCTTGTTAAGGTTATAAATTAGAATGTCTTTTTTTATTATTGACTATGTAAAGTAGTACATTATCCATTATGCTTGAATTAACAATACTTTAACTAAATATTTCCTATGACATCGCAATATCTAAGCAGGTGATTATATACAATACTATGCAGATGTATTGTTATAAATTTTAACACTATTATAATTTAAAAGGGTTGCATAACTTCGGGAGAAAAAAACATTTGCCAAAAATATTAAAATTCTTTGTAACTTGAAAACAAAAGCAAGGACTGCAATACAAGCAAGGACTGTTTTATAATATAATTTTGGGTAGTTTGATATACATATTATAATTTACATATAAATTTTGTTGTTAACGTTATAAATTCGAATGTCTTTTATTAACTTCCCGTAGGGTAAGTTATTGTAATGGGCCGAAAATCGGAATTGAAAATTTTTACATTTCTCGACGTTTTGAAGGTTTCTGAACGTTTTGGCATACTTCAGAAAAAATAGATGTGTGTGTGTGTATGTATGTATGGATACAAATTTCCAGTCACGTTTTCGGGCGCACGGATCAACCGATTTGAATGGTTCAAAAAACATTCGATTTCTATTGATAGGGAAAAGAGCTGATTAGTTTTTGGCGAAGGCATGTCCAGCCGTTTCGGAGATACGGAGCAAAGAGTGCAGAAAATAGAAATCGACTTTTTGAGAGAACGGAGTATCCGATTTGAATGATCTAAAAAACATTCAATTAGTAATGATTGGGAGAAGTGTTTATTAGTTTTTGGCAAAGGCAGGCCCAGCCATTTCAAAGATACGGAAGTAAATATGTAAAAAATGGCAGTTTTTGAGAAAACTAAGCGTCCGATTTGAATGATTCAAAGAACTTTCTGCTTGTCTTAACAAAATAATTGATTTTGAAAAAAAAATTTGTCTCATTTTTTTTTTTTTTTTTTTAATTTTTTGTATATCGAAAATATTACAGATTTTATTTTTAATTCTGACTATAGTTCTAATATACAAATTATTAAACAAATAATTTCAACTTTGCAATTCAGTTTATATAATTCTTATAAATATTAGACAATGTTACAATATTTATAATAATCTATTTGAAAACATTCAGTATTCCTCGAACATTTCGTTACGGTACGGGAAGTTCCAGCAATTTGCCTTAAGGCACGATGCCACCCACCCCACTAGGTTATTATTGACTTTGTAAAGTAGTAGAAGTACATTATGCTTGAATCTAATCGACATTAGTTCGACATTATTTAACTAAACATTTTTGGCTATAACTTTACAATATCTACACAGGTGATTATATACAATACTTATACAGAGGTAGTGTTATTAATTATAACATTATTATAATTTTTAATATATCTATCAACTGAGCCATATCTCTTATTGTTTATAATTTTATCTTGTTAGATTTAATAAAAGTATACAGGATGTTCTATCTACAACATACCCTCCTTGATGGTTTGCATACTTTCTAAAACTTACTCTTTATTAATTAATACAAGTTTATATTTAAACAGCTTGACAATATATATTATATTTATCATTTATTGCTTTTTTAATGTGTCCATTAAAAGTCCTCGTGCTGAAACTTCTAGTGGTCTGTGTTATGATTTTTGCATTTGAGCAAACTTGTTATCGAGGAAAGTTAAAACACTTCAAATCTTGCACACTTATAAACAAAAATTTATTAAATATAGTTTATACTTTGTAAAAATAGAACAAATGAATGTGTGAAAAGTAAGTAAGATATGATATTTTGTTAAATTAAGATTTTTGTATAGCCCTTGGTTGCCAAGTAGGATAAAGTCATTATCTATGCTTGGAAGTCTGAATCAATTAGCTTAATCTGATATTCATGGAAAAAGTTATTAAGGATATATTAGATACAGAAGATCAAGTTGAGTGGGATCCTTAAAATAAACTGCTTTCTAAAAAAAAATCGATTAGAAAAAGCATTAGAGACTCTTCACTTATCTATAATGTCTTGTCTAAATTTGAATTCTTAGTTTGAAAGACTGAAAGTAACTTTAAAGAAAGAAGAAAGCTTACAGTTTAAATTACATTAATTTTTTTCAATACCTGGATAACTTCAGCAAAAGAAAACATTTGCCATAGATATTAAAATTCTTTGCAACTTGCAAAGAAAAGTTTTTGAGTAAGGACTACAAATTACACAAAATCGGACCTCAATTAAAGACCAATTTAAAACTAGTTAACCAGTAATTTTTTAATTATAGATATATCAACATGCTAGGGTAATACACTACTTACTTACATTTATTACCTTTATAAAATGCAATATTTTATTCATAACATACCAATTTTTTTTTCACTATCATTATTAATGTTAACTATGGCTATAAACTATTTATAAACGTAAGAGAGTAAATTAAATATATTATCAAATACTATTTAAACTAGTGGTTCATGGCATCGTGCCTTAAAGCAAATTGCTGGAACTTCCGGTACCGTAATGAAATGTTCGAGGAATATTAAATGTTTTCAAACATATTATTATAAATTCTGTAATATCGTCTAATATTTATAAGAATTAAATAAACTGAATTACAAAGTTAAAATTTATCACTTAAAATATATAAGTGAGCTTTAGAACTGATTTATTTTCATTTTCGATTTTTGGCCCATTGCTATAACTTACTCTTTATTACTTAAGTTAATAAAACTTTGGTGGATAATCAAAACTATTTTACTTAAATGAGGAGATGGAGACAAAACCTCAGTCTTTAAAGAAATGTATTAAACTTATCAAGTTACATAATTATTTATAAAATCATTATATATATTTGTGCTATAAATAAATATTTTTCCATAATAAACAAGACTATTCTATCAGATTTTACAAGCATGTAAAGCTAACTTATAGCTTAATCATTTGGCAAAACATCATTAAACGATTAGATCAGAATAAAAATAGAGTACTACATAATTTCAATATCTGAATTACTGATTGTGGGTATGCATTCCATAATGAAAGTTCACAATTACCAACAATTACTATATAATGTCAATAAAAACTTTGTACAATTTTTACAATAACTAAAAATCTACCAATAACATAAACTTAAATCTAATAGTTACTATTTATAAAAATGATTTGATCAAGGATGCCACTACTAAGTGCTGCTCTTTGGTTCTGGTAATAAATAGCTTTTTTCCAAGACATTCTATCAAAACTTATTGAACAAACTGGTATGCAGAGATAAAACATAGCTAAATCGTATAGATTTGGGTACTTATTCTCACTGAAAGTGAAGAGAAAAATGTAAAAGGGATTTTAAAAATAAAATATTTCGATTTACTTACTTATGAGTCCACCATTCAAGAGGGCACTGATCCAGACAAACGGCTGTTTCACTCTGAAACATTATGAACTCACGTGATGCAACTGATTCTGGATCATTGTCGTTGGAATTGTTTGAACAGACTTCGCCCAATAATAATTGCATACCTGAATATAATAGCATGATGTTAGTAATGAAAACCAAGACCATATGATGAATATATTACACTCTTATTATTAACTTCTGTAAAGTTTTCTCGACGTTTCAAGTGAGATCAAATTTGAAACCAGTGGTGTATGTCATCGTGCCTTAAGGCAAATTGCTGGAACTTCCCATACCTTAATTAAATATTTGAGGAATATCAAATGTTTTCAAATAGATTATTATAATTATTTGAAGTATTATAAGTCACATTTAAAACTTCAACTAGAATTAGAATTAAAATCCTAATTTTTTTTGAAAATTAAAAAAAAATAAATTGAAAAAAAAATCCCCTACAAGCAGAAAGTATTTTTAAATCTTTCAAATTTGAAAGCTTAGTTCTCTCAAAAACTGCCATTTTTTGCACATTTAGCCCTGTATCTCCGAAACGGCTGGACCTGCCTTTGCCAAAATTCAATCATCACTTCTCCCCATCATTTAAAAAAATTTAAAATTCAAAAATGTATAATTTTTCGGCCACGTTATAGCCCACAATCTTGAATCGATTTTAAATATTCAAAAACTGTTCGAAAAATATTGGTCGGAAATCTCGTTGATTAGTATCTGATACAGATCAGCTGGACCAATAAATAAATTTTTTTGACCGAAATGTTGGAATTTATTTTGGTGATTTTGATAAAACATTGTGTGACCTTAGATTTTATAATCTGAAATAACATACTGAAATATTATAAGCCTACGATAATCGGTTGAATTATAAAAAATCATCAAAATTTACAATTTCGCAATAAGCTTAAGGGGGTATTCTACTGTAGAGGCATGAATTTCGCCCGGAGCGCTGTATAAAGGAAACAAATAATATTTTTACTATCGATTTTTTTATTGATATTTTATTATTACATAAAAAAAATTATTAAAAAAAAAAAAAATCACAAAGTTTCAAATCAAAAAAAAAGAGGGTGTACTGGCGTGCATGATTCCAACCCTCCTGGTGATCCGAAACATAAAAAATAGATGGATTCTTAATTATTATAGATGCCACTATCGTATGACCCTTGGATAAGTTAAAAAAACATGTTTTGTTTGAATGGCGGCAGTTTGAAAAAAAAAAAATTTTCATGTTTTTTTTTAACAATTCCGAATTTTTTAAAAATACTAAATGGAAAGTTATAGTTTTGGGCAAGGTCCACGCGATAAAGCGATGTATAGAGAAGATCCTCTCCAAATTTGAAGTAAATCGGTTCATTAGAACTCGAGATATCCTTACCGCCAGCTCGAAAAAAGTAGTTCCGAGAAAAACGCGTTCAAAGTTGTGAGACTCGGTCGGAACCGAACCGAGGCCACGTCACTAAAACGGATATAACTCAGGAAATAATAGTAATTTTGAAAAATCCTTTTAATGACATATTTTTGAATAACTAAACTTTGAAAATACGAAAAAAAAAATTCGATTTTTTCAAAATTCTACAGTAGATTACCCCCTTAAGCGATTCTAATCAGAATCTATGCCAAATCATATGTACGTTCTGCGTTGTTTTGTTGGTAGCTACTTATTGCAGTCTACACTTCAATAAAATACATTTTGAGAACCCTAATTAAATGAAATGAATTAATACAATATCTGTATATTATAAGTATGTTTGAAAGAAAAAAATTGGGAATCGTATTGATTATTTTTTAGTGAAAGCTAAAATTCTATTTTCAAAATAAGTTCATGCAACTTGCCTTAAGGGTTAGATAGGATTTAAGAATACACACAAAAAAAATTATATCATCCTGGTAAATATTTTCGAAGTTGCACGTAAATTTGGAAAGGAAAACACGGCTAAGACGGAAGAAAGTAGTTAGTGATTAAGATTTTTTCTGCCCAATAAATATTTTAGTTTTTATGAACAATTTAAGGTCAAAATTTCGGCAAAAAACCGTTTTCTTTAATAAAAATCATTATTTTGCTTGTTGTTTCGATTAATTACTAGATTTACCATTTATTTAATAAAATCTTTTTTGTTTTTTTTAATCTCAGATAATTTACTCAGAGATAGAGTGGTCACAGAAAAACATGTTTTTCGCAAGGTACTCATGCAGATCTGCTGTAACTTTTTTTTAAATAAATATTTTTACCTGTTATTATTTTAAAAATATAGTTAAAAGATGCCTTTATATGTATATAAATTTTTGTTAAATGGCTTTTTTATCGGCCGATTAACTGTATATAATACCACAATGCAAATTGCTACTTACAACTAGTTTATTTAATAATTATATAGAAAAGACAGGCATACCACTAATTCGTCTCTGATCTTTACTCGTGCTTCTACAAGTCCGCAATCTAGATTTTTCCTTTACATAAGTTTCTATGCTTTCATGCACTTCCTCCAATTCCTCTGCGGGGGCATATGGCAATAATTTAAATCTAGCATCCAGGAAAGCTGCTTTGGTCAGAATTGATGATAATGCCTTTTCACTATATCTATAAATATAACATTTAAATGAATAATTGTTGAATTAATTTATGTATTAAATTATCATCAATATATAATCAGATACATACTAAAGCATTTACAAGTTTCCTATTTTGAAAATAGAAATATCTTGAAAGTAAAAAAATATATAGCTGCATAAAATATTTCTTTAAATTATTACCTTTCATTGAGAATTTTGCAAATCTTGGCTTTCATTCTAGACACAAATGCATTATCCGTATTCTTGGCTTTCAAATGTGATGTAGTCAGTTGCCACATTATTGGTTTTATAACAGACAATGTGGGTAATTTAGTTTCTCCTAATGTAATAATAGTAGTCTACAGGAAAAATAAATTTAAAGATCTATATATTAGAGTTAGAATGTTGAGTTAAAATCAATTAGAATTAGAAGTAAGAAAATAAATTAAAAAATAATGTTGAATAAATAAAGAAATATATTGTATACCCATAAAAATGATTTAGTTAATATTAGTACCTTAAGTGGTGCCAAAACAGTGACAACATCCTTGACAATTTGCCATTCTTTTTCACTTAAGTAGTGTACAATGTTTAAACTAGATTTCTTCTGCAAACATTTTTCTAATAAAGTGTATGTCGAGAGCCACACTGAACGGTAATCTTCATAGGATTCATCCTGGTCAAAATTGAAATAGATTATCAAATATTATAGAACAACATGGAAATATAAAATGATTAACTTCCTGGAGGGTAAGATATATCTTAGAAAAAATGGATGTATGTGTGTGTGTGTGCGTGTGTGTGTATGAATGTGTAGATACAATTTTTAGCCTATGATTTGAAGAGCAAAGATCAACCGACTTGATTGATTCCATTTTTTTTTTCAATTTTCAATAACAGAAAAAAAATACAATATTTCTAAAAGAAATGATTTTATCTTTTTTCGAATTTTTCAATATTTTCCAAAAAATTCCAAAATTTAAACAAACATTTTTTGTCAAAGTTCTCAAAAAATAATTTTTTATCATTTCAAAATAAAAAAAAAAGATATATTTTCAAAAATTTCGCAAAAATTAAAAAAAAAAAATATTTTGAAAAATATTGAAGATGATTCGGATTTTAATTTTAAAAACATAATGTTTTCAATTGCGTTTTGAATTTCAAAAAGTATAAAACTCCCTCTGATATACTTGAACTAAATAATATGAACTTTGCAATTCAGTTTTGAAATTTCTTATAATCCTTAGAAATGTGAGAAAAGGTCCTCCTCAGATAGATTAGGTTTGTTTATATATTATATTATTTATTGTAAATAGATAAATTATTTATAAACATACGTAAGTCTTTTATTCAATAAGGTCTATGAATGATAAAATTTATAGTATTTATTATAATATATTTGAAAATATTTAGAACAATTGTTATTGATCATTGATCAATTTTTATTGATTACTAATTAATATCATTTCTCAAATGTTTAATTACGGTACGGAAATTTCTAGCAATTTAACATAATGCTACGCACAACTAATTAAATTTTATTATTAACAAACTAATAAATTATTTCATTTCTCAAAACAGTATGAAATTAAATATAGAGTTTTCTTATTTATGAATACTCAACAGTTTTAGTAATTACCTGATTGTTAAATTTACACATGCGGCTGCACAATTTATCAATGACATCTAATGCACCTTCATGACTAAAACATGTTTCAGCGCACATTTGTATTGTTTGTATGACACATGGAATTACGCTTATACCTAAAACAAATAATAAAATTCTGTTTGTGAATAAGATTTTTCAACATACAACAAATACAAATAATTTGAAATTTTGAAAAAAATCTAATAATACATTATAGTAAACACAATATTTATTAAATGAGGTATTGAATTTATTAAATATTAGCTTATGTTTCATTTCAATGATTTAAAATAGCAAAGCTAAAGAACCAGTGTTCTTTCTTAGTGAAACAACCATAATTAATTAAGATGACCATATATGTTTCAGGACAGTCCAGTATTATCCACCTTGGATTCATTTTCATTTTTTGACCTGATTTATCACAAATTTTTAAAAACATTCTTATTACTTCAATAAGAATTAGTTTTTCAAAACACTGGGATCGTTCAAGTATTACGTAAGCAGATTTATTACAATTATTTACCCCCCCCTCCCCTTTGTCATCAAAAGTAAGCAAATTTCTTACCAAAAATAAGCAAAATAAGCAATTCAATAACCCCCCCGCCCCCCTATAGTGCTTACGTAATACTTGAACGGCCCCACTCATAAAAAATAACATCTTTTACAATTTTCTACAAACTTCTTTGGGCGCGACTAGGGATCTGTGAAAATGCGACGGAAGGCCGTTACGCCCAAACTGTTCGTCATTCGCTCTCGATGAAATCATTTCTATACAGGTCGATTGTGATTGGTCGCTGTATCATGTGCGAGGCTTCTTTGATTGTATGCGAACATCAAATAATAAAACAAAGAAAACATCTGCGCCATGTAATAAACGTCAGGCTATTGAAGTAATTTGGATTATTCGTGGTTACTATATATTTTTGAGGTTATTAAAATGAAAATTATTTTTATAGGAAAGACAGATACTACAGCTGTTCAAAGAGTGAAACCTTATCGCCAACAAAAAGGTAAAAAAAAGAACAAGCAGTTAATTAATGTGTGTCATAATTTTAATTACATGGAGTTTTTCAAACACAATTACATGATAAGTGAAATTGTAAAAACAATATTTATTTAGGCGTTGTTCAACATAATAATTCTCTGCATTTTTAAATATATTAAAAATATTAAAGCAATATTATGTATCATGCAGAAAATATGTCTTTTTCAGAATTATATCTCAAACACTTATGGAAGTTTAGAGGAAGTCTACTTGTTTTTCGATCCCGATGGCTATTAAGAATAGCAAAAATCGTATAATAGCAAAAAAGTTTCAATTCAATCGCGTGCGAATCTTATGCGCACTCATTTTTATATAATTTTAACATTCAATATATGAAAAAAATATATTATGTTATTTATTTTAAGTAGCCCTGCTCTCTTAAAGTTTCTGTTCCAAATTTGAAACAATAAACTACGGTCACCTCATAATTAATGCTCAGTTTTTATAAAAAAAAAATCACCTTACCTTTGTTTTCTACAGCTTGTATAATCGCTCCTCGACACCAACCCACAACCACAGCTGTAATTTTTTCTATTGATAAACAAAACTCGGAGCAAACTGCATCAAATACATCAGACCAATATAGAGCATCTGAATCTTCTGGACAGCATACAGTTTTAAGAGCTCTTGTTTGAATACTCAAGCAACTACTTTCAACATAATTTATATAGAAAGTAACATAATTCTTTTCATTGCAAGAAAGCCATTCTTCAATTGAAAGGCTTATGTAGTGTCTGTGTTCTGATATCCTTTGGATAATGCCAATTTTTGTATCGTCGTAAAGGGATGGAATGATTTGTTGCTCAATTTTTTCAACAGTAGGAATTTCAGATGATGGTTGGAGGGTTTTGATTAGTAGTAAGAAACCAGAACCTGGAAATTGAAATAGATTAGATTGTTTTATAAAATTCAAGAATTTTGTATTTCTAAATATGAATTTAACCCTTTCCACTCAGATACCGCTCCGGCGTCAAAATACATATAAATCTCACAATTTGCGAGTGGAAAGGGTTAACTAGTAGTGTATGGCATCGTGTCTGAAAGCAAATTGCTGGAACTTCTTATACCGTAATGAAATACTCTAGGAATATTAAATATTTTTGAATAGATTATTATAAATACAGTAGAATCCGATTAGTATGACGCCGGATATATTGACAACCGCTTAATATGACGTAATCGTACTAGGAATTTGGTCTCCATATAAAATTCCTTAAAAAAACAGCTGTCTTGTCGGATATATTGACCTAGCTTACATTGACATGTCGCTTATAATGACCCATTTTTGCAAAAAAATATGTCCAATTATAATGACCGACATGATTTTACAAGTCTGTGGCCAAGTCTACAAAAGTAATTGCTGTGTCTTTTGTGCACAGTAGCACCAGGGATTGTTTTTACAATAAAATTATGTAAAGAAATCAATCAAAAATTACTGATTACTTACATTAAAAAAACACATTTGTATGTTTATGGGTAGGGTAGACTAATTATTAATGGCCCCTCACGGATATCTCATAAACAAATGAAATTAGATTTTTTTTAACAATTATATTTGTTAGTAGAAGGCGAAAAATGTATAAATTCATAACCAGCCATCACCTTTATTATTATGACTTTGCTATCAGAAGATAAGCAGCACATGAGTGGGATAAAAAGGACAAGCAGAACCTTTACTTTGGCAAAAGTGTAAGCAATAAAATAGTAAATTTTAAAAAAAAAAAAGCAATTTTACAAGAGATAAATTGAATAAATTGTTATTCCGGCTCTTCTGATGAATATTTCTGACCAATAGCAGATCAATGCGATATACTGTGTTGTCTTTGTAACAAATGTACCCACAGAATTAATATTTTGCATTGGTTCAATAATGTAGCATAAAATGCCTTTAAAATTTAATAAAAGAAATTGCATCTGCTCGCCCCCTGATTGTTCCACTTTACCCCGTATGTGAAGTAAAATGGGTCAGATACCAAATGTTTAAAAAATAGTAAAAAATATAATATTTATATAATTAGGAATTATGTACGTATGTATGTAAGTTTTTTTGAACATAGTTCGATAGATGCTTCTTTGATATATGTTATGTGTTGTTAATTGGGTTTAGACAGTATAATTACCATAAGTGAAATTGGACCGTTGTGCCCCCGCCCTACCCTATGTCAATTTTATTTTATATTAAATTAATGTGTCATTTTTATTTTTAATTAAAACGTACGTTTGTATAGACTTTTCATTTGAATTACTGAAACATGTAACATATTTGCATATTAAAAAGTTTTTCTTCAGTACGCTTTTAATGACGACCGGTTAGTATGACGAGATTTCGGCGTCCCTTCGATGTCATACTAAGCGGATTCTACTGTACCATAATAAAATATTCGAAAAATATTAAATATTTTTGAATAGATTATTATAAATACTCATATATGCTTACAGAAAAGTAAATAAAAGAATTAAATGTATCCATTACAATTACCGTTAACAATTTCAGGAGAATGCATATCCATAACAATAAACTTGGTGATGATCTCTGACAAAGTGTGATCGTCTATAGGTGAATTGTCAGGATTCTGCATATAATATTCATCAAGTGTGTCGACTTGTTCAGCATACATATGATCATCAATTTCAGGCAAATCAACTTTGCATGTGACCATTTTTCCTACTCTATCGTAAGCACTATAAACAGCTTTGGCATCTTCAACTGGCAAATCATTGGTGACTTTGATGACTCCTTCCATATCAGTCTCAATGGTGTAAGTTCTTTTGGTATCGGTGGGGTAATCAGAAGTCAAAGCTTTTTTATCTGATTTGTTTAAATCTGATGGGGAGTTTGTTTGGAGTAGTTCTGTGTATAAAGTGTTGTGTCTGTTTGCAAGATGTATTCGGAGGTTTGTAGTGTTGTGGTTGTTTCTGATCTGTCTTTGGCAGATGCTGCAGACTATGTATTCTTTGGATAGAATTGTGCCGTTCTCGTCAGCAGGGAAGCCGAAGTATTTCCAGTAGACACTGCGCATGGAAACAGGTACAACTATTTTTTTGTAGGAGAAGGTGGCATGCTCAGCAGTATCTTGCATTTTTCTCTTCCTTTGGCGCTCTTTCATTATATTTAACTGAGGGATAAGAATAAATATTAGGATAAAAGATAAGAAGGTTGTAGGTTAAACCATGTATATAGGGGAGACATCAATTACATGAATTTTTAAAATTATTGAATAACTTACCCGACTATTAAGTAAAAGAGCATTTTAAATTGACAGTTGACACATTGCATTGTGTTATTAATAAAATATAACACCTTCGCCTAACCATTTTGTTGTCAAAACAGTATGAATTTAAATATATAGTTCTCTCATACATGTATCTTATTATTATTTAGGTTATATCACAAAATTTGCAGAAACATACTGAATTATCCAATGGCAGTTTCACTAAAGAATCTTGATATTTCTTATAGTCGTCTTCTAACAATTCTATATACACTATTTCAGTATTTGCATACATTTTGTCGAAACTATCGTACGAAATAACAATATAGCTTTCGGTATTGGAAAAGGTAAATATAAATACTTACATATCGAGATTTTGGGTCAATCGAATAGCTCTTTATTATTTCTATCGAAAAGGGATCGATCGATAGATATTACATCAAACGAAGCCGTCAGTGGCTACGCAGTGTTGCCAGAAGAGAAGATATATCGAGATGTTAGCAACGGACGTTGGGATTTGAAAATTGGCGCGGATTTCAAAATGTAAATACATATTATCAATGTAATATGCCAAAGATAATATCGAGGACCTTTAAAACTACTACAACTTTATATGAACAGAATAGTGATTAGATATAGAACTTATTGAAGTGATTTTCTAGCTATCAATATTATATTTATCAGATTAATTTATATGTGTGTTTGAAAGTGTGTGTGTATGTGTGCGGGTGACTGACATAAGCCAAATAGCTCATAGAATTGTCCTGTATTCTGATTGCTATTGAAAATAAAGTTTAAAAAAAATCGATGTTATAATGTTATGTCAACGATTAATACTGTTATTATACTGATTTGGTATACAATATTTATTCATTACTTTATTTTGTGATACTAAATATAAAATTAAACTGATTGAAAGTAGCATTTAGACTGAAGGCAAGTTGCATGAACTTCCCGATATTTGTAAATAATCGACTCAATCAATATAAAATAAATTAATTTATCAGTGATTAAGAGTTTTCCGAGTGCATTTATTACACATAATCAAAAATGAATGAAGACGTTAACTCGGAGTATTATCTAAAAGCAAATTAAACCAGTATATCCGTAGGACTTTAATGGTCCAGTATGTTCAATAAGACCAAGTACTCTATTATTATACCAATTAAATCATATAATTTTAATTTTAACAAACGTCAAAAAAACTACTCATTTTCTCAAAATTTGACGATTTTTTCAAATTAAACTACTTGTCGTAAGACCGTAATATTTTAGTAAGTTCTGTAAGACCATGATATATATCGCCAAAAAAAGTTCTATAAAAATCGGCTTAAATTTTTTTTCAACAGCTAATTACAAGAAAACGTCTGGATGGATTTGCACCTAAAACTAATCAGTATCATTCCGAACTAATCTTTCGAAAAGTTTTTGATTTTTTAAAATTGATTTAGTAGTATGTGCTAGAATGTGGTCGAAAAGTTTAACACTTTTTCCAAATTACAAAGAAACGGCTCAGACGATCGCCGTACAAAACTGAGTAAAGATAATCCACATCAGAATACATCGATTGGCTTTTAAATTTTTGTAATCGGTTCAGGCGATTTTAAGCAAACGTCGATGAAAGTTCTAATTTTGGCAAACGCCAAAAAAGCGATACTAATTTTTGCAAACTTTGACGAATTTTTTAAATTAAACGACTTGTCGTAGGGTCTTAATCGTCGAAAAAATCGTCGAAAGAAATTTGTTTAACACTTTATTACAAAAAACGGCTCGGCCGATCTTTACCAAAAACTAATCGAAGAGTTTTTGAATTTTCAAAATCAATTCAGAATTGCGTTCTAAAACGTGGACATATTGTTATTTTGTTATATTTTATTGTTTTTTCAGTATTATTTTATTATTCAGAAATTTTATTTATTTTATATATTAATTTTATTTTAATTATTATTTGCTTTTATTTTATATTAAATCATCATACTACGGATATCATTTTAATGTAAATTCTGTCCTTTGCACTCTTATTTATTTAAATTTATGTTATTATTTATCACTATTGCTAGATGTTAAACTATTTAATAGTTGTAATAAATATTGTAATTAAAAAAAGTGAACAATAAATTTTTCACTTTTCTGTTATTTGGTCTCATTCGATTCAGAATAGCTTGAAACGTCGAGAAAACATATAATAAGCGAATCGGCTTTTTTATGAAAATATAAACTTCTCGTTCGGGAAGTTTACTAGTGGTGTATGGCATCGTGCCTTAAGGCAAATTGCTGGAACTTCCTATACCGTAATGAAATATTCGGAATATTAACTGTTCTCAAATAGATTTATAGGTACGGCATCTTTCTATATTCTTATTTTATAAACAAAATATAAAAGGTTACAAATTGTACGATGTCGCGTTTATATAAGTTTACATAAAAAGTAAATAAACAAACTAAAACTTAATTATCCCCTTCGATGTGGAGTAATATTATTATTGCAAGTGAAAAATGTAATTATTTTTGGCATGTTTGAAATTGGCGAAAAACCATGGACTATAGTCCATGACTTTTTCACGAGAATGAATGATCTTGTGTCACATTTCTAATAATTATATAATCTGTATTGTAAAGTAAAAATCATTATTACTAGTATATAAGTGAGCTTTAAAATTTTAGCTAGAATTAAAATTAAAATCCGTAGTTAAATTAAAAGCTGCTATTTTTTTGCACATTTAGCGGCTCGGCCTGCCTTTGCCAAAAACTAATCACCATATGGTGATCAAAACATTCAGAAGTGCACTTCTCCCCGTCATTACGAATTGAATGTTTTTTTGATCATTCAAATCAGATGCTCCGTTCTCTCAAAAGCTCGATTTCTATTTCTGCATTCTTTGCTCCATATCTCCAAAATGGCTGGACCTGCCTTTGCCAAAAAGTAATCAGCACATGTCCCTATCCGTAAGAATCGAAAACTTTTTAACCATCCAAATCAATGAGTCTGTGTTCTCGAAATCGCGGACAAAAAATTGTAGGCACAAAAAACACACGTGAAGATATGCAAACATTTTCAATTTCGATTTTTAGACGATTATAATAACTTACACTACGGAGGTTAAAAATCATTGTGCAAAACTATATTTAACTATATATACATCGAATGGATTCTAAATTATTGTAATCGGTCCAGCAGTTTACGAGCAAACGTGGACAAAACACACACACACACACATTTACACACAATTTTTCTCATTCGATTCAGCATAGCTTGAGACGTCGAGAAAACGTAAAATTATCAAATTTGAGAAGTTGAGATATAAATGATTATACGATAAGACCCGCTTAAGACGTTTTCTCAAAAATCCTTACCTGCAAAAGACAAACAATAAAAAATATATTTTGATACATTTAAAAATAGAATTTATATTATAAGAGTATACAAGGATTTTATGACTAGTTTGTACATACAAGGGTTTATTTTACATATTGTAAAATAACATAATTTTTATTTCCGAATATACAATTACAATTACAATTGTCGGCACAAATACTGTTTAAGGATATATTTTGGAACAATATTATAGCTTAAGACATTCGCAAGTTTTCTATGATCAATACAATATTTTGCAATCACTCGAAATTACAATGAAATAAAATTGAAGCTGTAAATATAATATAAATGTAATAGAAATATGGCTCTATTACATTGTGAAGCCAATAAACAGATAAATTAATACTTAAATTGGGGTGGAAGTTGAATAATGGAGATCCAAACATTAACCCTTTCCACTCGCGAATTCCGAGATTTATATGTATTTGACTATAAAAAAGTTCAATATTTCACAGTCAGCGTCATATTGCATAAAAGGAAACTTTCAGAACATTCAATGTAAAAACCGAGCAATGAATATTAAAATAAAAAAAAACATTTTTGATAAAACATATCATTGTTCAAGTAAAACTAAAAATATGCAAACCCATTCATAAACTCTGAGGGCGTCCATTAATCACGTTAGTCATAAATGGGGGGAAGGGGGGGTGGTGTTGACAAAAAATCACTAAATATCACGTTGGTGAGGGGAGGGTCCAGCAAGATACCAGGTGTACCTATTTGTTACCTAAATAAAAAAAAACAATGAATTAAAAAAAAATTGATTTTTTTTCTAGGTACTAAAAATACACATGTTTGGTGAGGGAGGGAAAGTCATTTTAAATATCACCAAGTATCCCCAAAGGATAGGGGCAGGAGATAAAAAATCCTTAGAAATTGCTCACGTGATTAATGGACGCCCCTGTTAATTTTTGATGAATAAAAATACCTTAAACCAATAGTTCTACAATAGTAGAAGATACAAATTACAATAGTTGTAATAAAATTTACTGTTTTTTATACCAGCTTCATAAAATAGCATCATATGGCCAAAATTTATAGTTATTATGTCAAGTAATTAGGTTTAGTACTATTTTTATATACTATATAGAATATTTAACATGGTCTCAAGTGTAGTTGAATATGCAATATAACCAATAACAAGATATGAAATAGTTGACATCGATCTGACATACAAAGATACATACATATAGATACATATTGCAGTGTCAATTAAAGAAGAATAATAACTTCTTTAACTGTTGAAACATCATGTTTCCATATTACATAGAAACCATTCAAACTAATGTCAATTAGAAGTTAAAGTACACATCCTTTCACATTAATTTATCATACACAATAAATCCAAAACAAAAGTTGGTTTAGAAAATGAATAAAGCATGTGGACTTTCTTGGTGAAAATTTGTTAGATAGAAGGAAGTTTACGCAAGGGCCATAATGACTTCATAATATAAAGACTTCATAAAAAGTAAAATCAATATATTCATATAACCAAACATTTGTTTTTATGTTTGACACTCTTTAATCCATTTGTCGTTATCTTTATATAATCATCTATCAGGCCCTATTATCTCAGTACAAAATCCGCGTTCACAACGCGTAGTTCCAGTCACGACCGCTAGGCGCAAATTTGGCGCTAGTGAGCCGATGACAAGTTTGACAGGTTAGTAATTCACGAGCAATATGTACCAGAAATGTCAAAATTTTGTTTTGATTCTTATTATGATGTTGTGTTTACAAGTGTTTTATAATTGTTTATACGGTTTATTTGTGAT